ACTCTGTTCAATAATTTATTACTATTTTAACTCTTGCCTTAGACAGGAAAATACATACTTCTCAGATTTTTCCACCACAGGTGCCAGAATAAGGCTACATTTGGCTCCTAAGGTGGCTGGCTCAGGTAACAGAATGCCAGGAATGGTGAATTGCCAGGCTTCCCACTGCCTTTGCTGCCACTGCACTTCCCAGGGCCTCAGGGCCTGGTTCTGCTGTGGTTTTCCTCAGAATTAAGCATGATGGTCAGCCTCTGGCAGCTAGCACAGGCCAGCTCCATGGATCCCTTCCCCCCGCCACCACCCCATTGCCTAGCTCTGAAGAAGGACCTTTTAGAGCCAGGCTTTTCTACAAAGCTGGCTGAGCAGGAGGCGACACCATCCCTTTATGTGAGTGCCTGGTGCCTTCCTCTGGAGTACACTTCTTGACAGTAGTGGCCAGAAATAGGGACTTGCAGCACTGATACCGGGAAGGGTAGCAGCAACAAGAAAGGGGAGGGTGGCAATTATGATGTGCAGTGGCACTTCTGCTTCAGCTTAGACTGCCACTAGGCTCTGGATGGTAGGTACTTTGCTTAGAGAAGCAGGATGGGGTGTTACTTTCCCCAGATGGCACAATGTCTTGGGCCAATGCTGCTAATCCAAGTTCATTACTCACCACCAAGCACAGCGTTTCCCAATGTGAGTTTCCCTAAGCAACAGGAAGCTAAGATAATCATAGTAATCCTTTGAAATTTGGCCACTGACTCGAGGAGTTCTATTTGGGATCTTTGATGATGGAAACACATTCTTTGATGGAGAAGTATTCTTTAAACTAGAGTCAAGCACACTGGCCTCTTGTGGGGAATGTTAGAAAAATAAAACATACAACTTTGAAATTGTTTTAGCTTGTTGAATGTAGCATTTGAGAGCCCTTGCAAAGGGTATTAAAAAACAACCAAACAAAAGCCCCAGTAGCCTATGAAGGGAAAAACAAATCCACAATCCAAAGTTGAGAAATGCAGCTATTAGGATCATCCAAATTAAAAATATGCTTGTGTATCATTTTGGTTGCTCACTTGTGGATTTTATGCAGGATATTGAATTTAAGATAGCCATAACCAACAGAGTTATTTTTAAATTGAATGATCAATTCAGCAATGCAGTATTGTTTGTTGTTCAATGATTTCAGTGAATTTTGTAGTCTGCTTAGTAGAAAATGGATGCTGTATTATAAAAGCATAATTTCGTTTCATAGGTCACCATCTGATGCAATAATTATCCACTTATTTTATGACACATTATACAGTGTATTTAATAATAATATATTGTCTGAAATCCTGTTGCATAACATAAGAAAAATTGTAAGTTTTGGTTCATTCTGTGCTGGTAAATAAAGAGCCCCCCCCAACATGATTCTTGAGGCTTCACATACACACAAACACACACAAACACACTGACTTGCTGTGTGCACCCCCACCCACCCCCCAAATCATGACAGGGGCTCTATTTATCAGAGATGAACAGACTGAAACTTACGATTTTGTTTGTGTTACGCAACAGGAGTTTTGCCATTGACTGCATTTATTTTGTGGTTACATTTATCCTGTATCATAGCTCAACAACAAACTTTACCAGGTTATTTATTCAACAGTCTCTTTTTCTCCCTCCCTCCCTCTCTTTCTCCCTCTGTTTTGGGGCAACCTTCCTCATAGAAGCAATGCAAAGGAATAGCTATGTCACCCAACACATGCTATCTTGAGCTCCTTGGAGAAAACAAGATTATAGTACAGTAGTGATAAATGACAATATGACAAAAGTGGTTGCCAACCTGAGGGTATTAATCTGTCAGAAGACATTATTTCTATTCTGCCAACTTCAGCCAGCTCACCCAGCAAAAGTCTGGTGAACCACCCAATAAAAGTTAATACCAATGGATTTACCCTTCTGTAGTTTGGTGAAGACCCTGATGTTGGGAAAGAGTGAAGGCAAGAGGAGAAGGGGACAACAGAAGATGAGATGGTCAGACAGTGTCACTGAAGCGACCAACATGAATTTGACCAAACTCCAGGAGGCAGTGGAAGACAGGAGGGCCTGGTGTGCCCTGGTCCATGGGGTCACAAAGAGTCAGACACAACTTAATGAATAAACAACAAAAGTTTGGTGAAATACTGATAATTCTCTGTAATAGCTCAAGGGAGTGCGCTAGAGTTCCTTAGCAGAAAATTTTTAAGTTTCTCACCAAATAATAAATCCCAGATTCTTTAGGATGGAGCATAATAACTAAAGTAGTAATAGACTGCTTGAACTGTATAGACAATCGTCCCACTGTTGTTGAATTCAACTGCTGGACCAGCCACTGGTCACAAAGAGTCAGACACAACGACTAAGACTACCAACAAAAGTTTGGTGAAATACTAATAATTCTCCGTAATAGCTCAAGGGAGTGTGCTAGAGCTCCTTAGCAGAAATTTTTTAAGTATCTCGCCAAATAATAAACCCCAGATTCTTTAGGATGGAGGCATAATAATTAAAGTAGTAATAGACTGTTTGAACTGTATAGGCAATTGTCCCACTGTTGTTGAATTCAACTGCCAGACCAGCCACCTTTTGTACACAGAAAGGAAAAGAAATGCTGTTTCGTTCTTTCCTCAAGCAGCTGATCTTCCCTTTGAACATTGTGTTGGCCTTCTGCAAAACTGGAGGCGTCCCCGGGGCCTTTTGCTACCTCCCTCTTTTGTGCAAGGCTGGTCGTTTGGCCGCAAAAGCAACACTGTTCATACCATGAATATCAGAAATGAAATGATAATCCTAGAACTTTTAATCAAAAGCCTTTATTAAACTGTAGCTTTTAACTGAGGGTTTTCAGTTTATTGCACTGGGAAGGTAGATGTGAGTGTGTTTCCTTTAACGGTTCTCACCTGCCATAGTTGAGAGGGCAGGGATATGAATTTAAGAAAGAAATGAATGATGTTTTTGATATTCTGTTTAGAGACACCTGTACAACTTGTGACCAACCAAGCATACATTTTGAGTGTTTAATCTCCATGGTTTCTGGCATCCCAAACAAACACAATGGGGGAAGGGCATCTGAACTTTGAGTGGGCTGCTAAATGTGGCAGGGGAGCTGCATTTATAGGAGGGGCAGAGGTCTGGTGTAAGACATACATTATACTGCTGAGGTACACGGCTTCACCTAGTTGCTGAAGCTACATTTACAGTTCTACCATATTTTGGTTCTCCCACTGGCATATTAAAGGAAAGCTACGATATATACAGTGTATAACCAATCAGAAATTCTCATAACTTTCTAATCCTTTGATATATACCAGAATCTGAATGGCAGACATGGCCAGCAAGAGATTGAGTGGGAAATGCTCTTTCCACCACCCTTGGGAAGTTTGTTGTTTGAGAATTTTTCTGCCATCACAAAAGAGACACACACACCCCGAATTAAGCAGTAATACATACCACCTTGTTAAAACTAGGGTGGGATCAGCACAGCTGCTAGACTTTCCAGATGTGTCTCAATTCACTCATGTTTCTGGCAAATACAGTACAACTGATTTCCACACACAGCCATTTCAGATGTAATGTAGAGCACTAGAGTCTGTAACTGATAGAGTTCCTTTCCCGTAAATTGGAAAATCCTCTGGTTCCCGGCCCTTTTCTTGCAGGGCCATCTAGTTCAGTGGTTCTTAACCTTGGGTTACTCAGGTGTTTTTGCATTTCAGATGTAATGTAGAGCACTAGAGTCTGTAACTGATAAAGTTCCTTTCCTGTAAATTGGAAAATCCTCTGGTTCCTGGCCCTTTTCTTGCAGGGCCATCTAGTTGAATGGTTCTTAACCTTGGGTTACTCAGGTGTTTTTGGACTGCAACTCCCAGAAGCATTCACCACCAGCCATGCTGTCTGGTGTTTCTGGGAGTTGCAGTTCAAAAACACCTGAGTAACCCAAGGTTAAGAACCACTGATCTAGTTGAGGCAAAGGATAAGATATTCCTGCCCATGTTTATTTCACACACAGAAGCAAACGGCACTGACAGTCGAATCTTATTCCAGCACTGGCAATGAGACAGTGTTCTCCACACTCCTGAAAGCTGCAAGCCGGTTGGTGAACTGTGGGGAGGGGTTGTCTGTGGGCAGGAAATGCACAAAGAAGGAATGATCAGGGGGCTCCTTCCCACTTAATGCTCCTACTATAATATTCAGTGAGTTTTAAATATCATCATCTTCAGTGAGATTTAACTTTCAGGGAAATGTGTACAAAATGGCAGATGTGTATCTGTCTCTTAGGCTAATGGGGCTCAGAGTCAGTTTAAAACCATGGAATGAGAGATAGGATAAAAAGAGAAAGCATCTCTCCAGCCTTTTAGAAAAATAAACCATGGATTCTCAAGTGGTGGAGGATGTTACTGTTTTCTTCATACATTGTACAATATGTGGGTCATCATTACTCATAAACAAGAGTTAATCCCACTTCATTTACTCTCTCTCCCTGTCACCTCCAAATTCCCCTGTTTCAGCTCAGCAAGGAAAAGGAGTAAGGAAACTAAGATGGTTTTAGCAACTGTCAATCACAGAGATTTCTAAAATGTCCAGACACCCCTTCCCTTGGTCCTCAAGCCCCAGGGCATTTGAACATGCAACAAGCCCAATCCACTAGATTTAATTTATTAGTGTATTTTTATATGGCTTAATGTCTGCAGGAGTTCTGGATTTGCTGAGCTGTTCTACTACAACAGTTAAATGCTGAGCAAAAAGCCTGCATGTTTCAGGGGTTAAAATAATAATCAACTCTTTTCAATTTCAGCAGCTTTGCATTTAGAGCAGATTATCTCCCCACCCACCCAGTTCCCAAAATGCTCTAAAACTCAACCAGAATCTGAGGGCTTGATAGGTATTATAGAAAAGAGATTAACTCAATATTATCCAGCTGGGTTCAGAGAGCTCAACCGGGCTTTAATCTTCCAAATTTGTTATATTTGCAGGAGCACAGAAAATGTAATAAGCAAAAGTGAAATGTCAAACATTAAGGTGGTGAATTGCCTCCACTGGAGAGACAAGTTTGATGCAGAAGATCTTTTTGTTCCCAGGTTCGTGTGACATCTGTCTGACTAAGACTGAGAGGTTTAGTAGACTTCTGCTTCGTTAACTGAATAATTTGTGTAATGTTTCTCAAGAGGATAGGCCTTCTAAATTGGATTGCTCTGGAAAGAAGCAAAGTACAGTCTAAATTGCATCCCTTTTATCAGCTGCACCTGTCGTTTAAACCTGCAGATCATTAAGTTATACTTTCAATACATTTTGTACCAATCTCTGATAATCAGCTATCAAACAATCCCTGTAGACCTAGGGTAATGTAATTTCCTTCTCTTTGGGAATGACACAGCTTGTGTGGCCAAAATAGTACACACATACTTTGGAGCCACAAACTTTGGAGAAACACAGAAGAATTTTATTGAACTATACTAAATATCCTTGGGGAAGGGATTCTAATATAGCCCAGGGAAGACTAAATACACTCCGAAACAATTGAATTCCTCATTTGCTGTGGCAGGGAAAGGAAACTGTTTGGACTAAAGTCATCCCTTCTCAGATATTTTCTCTCCCCCCATTAAAGGGCCTTCTTCTCATACATACACACTAACTTTAATATCTCACCCCAAAAGGTCATGACCCAAAGGCTGGGAAACACTGCATTAAAGGTATATGTTCACATTCAAAAAGTACAGCAAAATAAAACAAATGCTTGTGGAGTGGATTGTAGAGACAAGTTAAAGATGGATAGACATCCAGTAACCTGTAACATCAGTGCATGCTACTGTATTACAAAATACTTAAGCTTGAAGTTGCAAGCTAGCATCAGTCAGTCAAGAACCAACACCTGAGAACTAAACATGGTGTGACAAGGGCACCTCTGTGTCTTTGCTTGCTTGCTTCTTCAGGTGTGTGCTTGTTCGAAATGGTAGAGTGCATACAGTAGAATCTTGAGGTATTACTGAACTACCAGAGGTTGGTAGCCAGCAACATTAGGAGGGCAATACTTTACCTGCCCCCCCATATGATGTATCACAGAGTAGGGAAAATTGTGGTCCTCCAAATGCTGCTCAATTGCAACCCTTCACATAGCTAAAGGTGAGAAATAGTATTGCAATGAAGGTTGTTTCCCTCCCACCATGTAGAACTAATGGATAATTTAAGCACTTTGCATCTTTTCTTGTTCAGGTAGGCAAGCACCAGAACTCTGATCTCCTAATGCCAAAAGCATGTGCTATTTGATTACTAGGTAGCCATCTTAATTGAGCAATCACTAATATGAATAAAACTAGGGCTCTTTGGGCTGCTTTAGTGTTTGTCCCAAAAGCAAGCTATCAATTGAAGTTAGAGGACTAATGAAGACCTTGGGGAGTAGGAAATATAATAATGTAGCTGATAGAGAATTAATCTTCAGGATAAGCTAGCTTGCTGCAGGCAGCGGTGACAAGTCAGCGAGCTGTCAAGTTCTGTGAAGAGATAATTGGAAACCTTTTTTCCCCCCTTTCCTTTTTTTCAGGTAGTTTCAAGAAAATAAATTGGTGTTATGGAAATGTATTTGCGCAGTTAAATGGAGAAGGTCATCTGAAGGGCCAGCAAAGGTTCTGGTGTGGTAATGGAGATGCTGAGGATGAGGAATGGAGGTTAGGTTGTACATAATGAACTAATCTCTCAACCTCTTGGTCTGCCTTGCTCCTGTTCACAGCTCCGGAAATAGATACAGGAATTGGCTTCATTCTTCACTTTCTTCTCAGACATCAAGGTAAGAAGTGATAAAATCAATCACACATTTCCTTCTATAGGTTAAATCTTAAGATAAGAATGTTACTACCTTAGCTTTAAGTATTCTGATTTTACCCATCAATCCCCATACATGTGAGGATTCTTTTAAAATGGCCTAAATCCTATTGCTTAGTCCCAATTATAGCAGATCTACTGAAGCAATTGTTGAATGTTGAGTTACCATTTATGGAAATCCCACTAATTAAATTAGTGCTCTAGTTCAGAGTACCAATAGTGATTCTGACCCACTAAACAAATTATCATGTGGCAGCCTCAGGTGGCTTTTATGTATTGTTGTTATGTTGCTGTCAAATCAGTTCTGGTTTATGGCAACCCTATCAGCCAGTGACCTCTGAAAGCTTCTGTCATTAATCACCCTGCTTAGGTCTTGCACACTGAAGATGGTTCCTCCCTTTACTGAATCAATCCATCTGCCATTTGGTCTTCTTCTTTTCTTGTTGCCTTTTCCCCCAGCATTATTATCTCTTACAGTGAATCTTGTCTTCTCATGATCTGCTCAAAATATGACAGCCTCAGTTCGGTCATGTTTGGCTTCTAGAAAGAGTTCACGCTTTAGCATCCACTTATTTGTGGGGGTTTTTATATCTGTAAAGTTCCTCATCAATCACATTTCAAATTAATCCATTTTTCTGGTCATGTTTTCCCATTGTCCAGTGATTGGAGATACTATAATATAAATGATGCTTATCTTGGTCGCCAGTGACATATCCTTACTTTTCTATTCCCTTCATAGCTGCACTTCTAAAATCTCCATTTTGATTGATGATTTGAACTAAAGTGCAATCTTTTAGCAATCTCATTGTCTCCATTGTCAGAATTAATGCTATATAATTCTTCCGCACTCATTATTTTCGTCTTCATAATGTTCAATTGTATTCTTAATGCTAATCTTCTCTTCTTAATGTTCACCTTTTATGTATCACAAAGCAAAATTAATAAAAGGATGAATAATGTCTGCAGCTCTGTGAGAATGTGAACAGCAACAGCAACAACTATGTATAAAACTCTATACGCATTGGTTTTAAAGACCACATCATGTTTATTGGTTCTGCCTTGGTGCGGGGATGGGAATTTGAGTCGTGGGACTCGTTGTCAAGTTGGACTTTAGTCACACCGGTGACTTGACTTCGTTTTCCCTCCAAAGATTTGGACTTGACTCATAACTCGGAACCCTCCCACCCTCCAATTTTTCGTGGGGGGGAGCTTGTTTTTAATAGAAACTTGGACATGGGGTTTGGGACTCAGGAGTTGGTACCGAAAACTTGGATTTGGTCTTGGGACTTAGCACCAAAGACTCAGATTCAGACTTGGGACTTGGACCCAAAGACTTCCCAAAAGTGGTGTGTCTGAACTCATCATCACAAGCAAAACATAGCTGGTTAGCCAGTGACAGATCATAATTTGAAGCCATGGTTTGCTGTTTACCTACAAACCCTGGCTTGTAGTTACATATGAACCCCAAACTCTGAGTCATTCTTGGCTTGTTTCTTCAGCTGCCTACACTGAAATAGAAGCTGACAAAAGGGTATGAGAAAAACAGACTGAACATGGGGAAATGAATGGTGGTTGATTTGTTTGTCTCCGAGTTAATTTAAAGCAACAAACTACGGCATAGATAAGCGAGCATGGACATAATCTCAAAAATCCTTAGGAAAGTTATGTAAAATAGGTCAGCATTATAACTCCCACATTGAAACCACCATGTTGCATTTGGCAGTGAAGCTGAGTGATAACACCTCATCTGAATCCATCTGTTCAATTCAAGGCTTAATCTTTTACATGACAATGTAACTCACTAAAATTAAACAATGGATTAGAAACTATTAGGTTTTAAGTATTGTAAAATAATAAACATTAAATGCTGTCAAATCAATTCCAAACCATGAAGACCCTTTCCAGAATTTACATAGTACCAAGATACATAATACTGAAAGCTGGTTTACCATTCTCATTATCTGAGAACACTCTGGAGCTGTCCAGCTTTCCTTAGGTTACCTAGACTGGTTCGTCTCTTGGAAGGCACAGTGGAGAATCAAATTCTCAGCCTCTGACCCTGCAACCAGATGCCTAACTCACTCAGGTATCCAGCTTAGATTGTATGAGGATGTTTGGCATCTCTTCGTGGACTATTCATTTCCTCTTTGGGCAGAGTAGCTCAAAGCATGGATACGCACTAGCACTAAAATTTCCTTTCAGAGTTTGAATTTAAATGTATAGCCCTTTGGGTTCAGAATTTTAAAAATTCCCCCCAAAAATTGGATATCTGAAACTCCTTTCAAGTCACTATGAATACTATATAGTCATTGCATTCTTACAACTGCTATTATCTGACTGTGGTCAAAAAAAGCTGGATAGACTGTGCTCTTCTTTACAGGAGACAATCCTCTCTTCATAATCAGCCTCTGTTTGATGTTCTGTCCAGTCAAAAGACTAGCCTAAGGATCTAAAACCCAAGAGGAACTAGAATCTTAAGCTCTTTATCAATAACCAGCATCTGAACAACAGACAAGGGAGGCATCCAGGTCACTCCATCCTTCTTTATTGTGAGATATTCTGTGCTTCTATTTACATTATACTAATGATTTCTAAACAGCATTTACCATATTTTTCGCACCATAAGACACACTTTTTTCCCACAAAACAGGGGGGGTGGAAAGTCTGTGCATCTTATGGAGCGAAGAAAACAGATTATATTTTCCTGTTTTCTTCTCCTAAAAAATTGGTGCATCTTATGGAAAGGTGTGTCTTATGGAGCGAAAAATACGGTATATGAATAAACCAGTACATGCAAATTCCATGCAAAATTATCTCCTGATACATTCTCTCCCTTTCCCCCTCCCCTACTTTCGAGGGAGATTAGTCATTCAAACAAGGAATGGTTTCAGAACTGTAAGGTCAGATGATGCTTCCTAAGTTCTACAAAGCAGGATATATTTTCTTATAAATTATTATGAATGACTTATAAGTGGTGAGCAGACCTTTTTAGCCTAACTCGGTCTAATTCTACCATCTTAATTGTTTATTCATGTTAATTGCATTTCAATTTATTTCAACTGTATTCATTTTTATTTTTACATATTTGGGTTGGTTGTATTCTGTATTTTTTTAACCATGTTTCTTGTGTGTTTCTTGTTTCAAACCACCCAGAATGGCCTTTGGCCAGATGGGTGGTACAAAACTGAAACAAACAAATGGAAGAGAATATGTGCCCACCTACCCACCAGCCCTAGCCAGCATAGCCAAGTATGAGGAATCATGGAAGGTCCTTTCCAACAATACCAGGAAGTATGCATATTCCCCATCCATGCTATAAAGTCTTTCCAATTAGGCTTCTTCACTGGTGTGAAGACCCAAGAGAGCTGCTACGGCTGGATGGGTGCTGCTCTGTACATCCTGCCCTTCTGCTTTTTTCTCAACATGTCATTAAATGCACAGGACCATGGTCACTCATTTATGAAAAACATGCCTAGTGTCCTCCAGTATGTGTTGACTTATGATCTGTATGAAATAACCTTTGTACATGCTGGAAATCTTGCATGGCTTCACACTCCGTGTCAGTGGGAGAGGGCATGCCCTATTGTTTTGCTACCTGCTGCTAATTAGACTGGTAAATGTTTTCCCATCTCTGTCATTGGGTCAGCCCCTCTTTTTTGTATGTTTCTGGTTCCTTTGTTGTTGTTTGTCTCTTTTTTCCTAACCACCTTTTGAGAAGCAACCAAAGTCATCCTCCATGCTAGAAATTCAATTTTTACCTGTTTTTTTCTGATTGTAGCTACAGCTGATAACTGTGAATAATCTTCACTTCTGTCTTTTTGAGAGGCATCTAGAATGGTCATTTGTACTACAAATTGGGCTAGACTACATGTCTCAAAGGACTAAAACATCTTCCCTTTTTTCTACCATGTACTCTGATTAAAAAAAGGAATAAGCAAATCCCCAATATAAGTGTTTTGTTGTTGCTGCTGCTCTTTACCAAACTTCAATAGTACAAGACCATTTTGCCATGTTAGAAAGTGCTATTACCTTGGTCCTTTAACTACAAAGATAATATTAACTTATTGGAACAATCTAATCACATCTAGTAACCTGTTAGGATTCAGATTTGAACCACCTTCCAAAGCACTATTTGTATGTGTTTGTGTATCGATGCCTGTATTGATGCCTGCCCATGTGCATGGGTGGCTTCTGTAACATATTCTGTGCTGCTATGTTTAGTTCTGCATGTCTATGCTTTACAATGTTAATACATACTGCACATTTTTTCTTACTGTATCCTTTCATCCTTCTATCCTTTGAGAAATAATAATTGCCCCATTTTCAAAATTTATATCTGCTGTATGATCAAAAGCTTCACACTGCTATTAAGGCTAAATGGTTAACCTTGGATGGATTTTGACTGTTACACAAAGCTGAAGCAGCAAGTCACAACATTCTTCTTGGGCCACAATCCAGTGCACAGTTAAACAAATTTAGGGGCGCTATTGTTTGCATAAAGTACTTTGGCGAACATCCTATTATGTTATGTATCATGGAAATGCAATCACAGAAGTGTTCTCCCCATTGGAAAGCTTACATCTGCATGCCAGCTCTTACAGTGCCTGTAAGATTGATCACACAATCTGTTGCATGATTAACTGTACAATAGGGAGGCTACTGGAACAAGGAAATGGATAAAATGCTCTGGCCTTTGTGTCACTCCCATTTAACTTAATGCAAGGAATGTCCTAGTACAAATGTCAAGGATTGGGGCATATTCCCACTGAGATAAAGAAAATTTAATTCTTTATAGGATTTTGTCCCACAAGCTGTATTATCCATTCCTCACTGCTCATCATAGCAAAACATAAGATAACAAGCACACCACCCAGTGGGAGAAAGAGAGTAATGATATGCTTCTTTAATGAAATAAAGCAAAAAAGCTTTTCAGAGTCGCTCTGACTGGTTTGTTTTCAAGTCTTC